AAACGAAAAAATCGAATTCAAAATTTTTAGAGTGTGACTTTAGATTCGGATTCCCCGACCCCAATTCAATTTCGTCAACCTTTATAAAATATCGTTATTTTCTCAAAAATCCTTTCCCCAGCTCAAAAAATCCGATTCAAAATTTTCAAAATCTGCTTTTAGTTTTGATTTCCTCGGTCTCCATATACCTTTGATAGAAATTCGCTAGTGGAATCTGTATGCTAGTGGAATTGTATAAGATTGACGGGAAGATTTGTATTGAGCCGAAACTTAGTATCGATTGGGTCCCGGGAACAACCGAACCCGGGAATCTCGGCCTGTTCTCGGGTTCGGTGCATGCCTATGCGAAAGTACTACGATTTATAAAGAAGTAAAACAATGTATAAAAGAGTACAAGTGAAGTATAAGGGAGTACAGCGAAGTATATTGAAACTACAAGGAAGTACGTGGGAAGTACGCACTCCTGAAGTCTCGCTCCTTCACCCTTGCTAGTTCTTCATAAATAATTCTTGCTTCAATATTGAGTGCAGTGCGAACTTTAATGCAAAAGCGAAAATTTTCCTTACTCATCTGAAACAGAGTGAATAGTGTGATGCATTTATGTAATTTCACTTAACTTATTTCAAAGTTGATGAATAATAAAATATAATTGCGTCGAGCAAACGAAATTTGTGTCTTGATACAATAGCAAAACAGCAAAAGATAACTTTTATCCCAATTATAAATTTATAATTCGAATTGAGACATCCATATAAGTTGATCTATATAAGTAAGACCCACTTCGAATGGCATCCTAGGGGACAGTAATATGTGATGTTGAATAGATATGCTGCTTCAGGTGCTCCACGCATCATAAGTGATGCTTGACGAACTTTCCTGGGTGCTAGAGGCATCGCCTGGGATGCTCGAGGCATCACCTAGAAAGCTAGAGTGACGTCATAAAATGCTCGAAGTATCACCTGGGTTGCTAGTAGCATTTTCTGGGATGCTTGATGCGTCACTTGCGATGGTAGTAGTATTACCTGGCATGCTACTAACTAAAGATGGAATACGTCTAGCATCCACACTGATGCGTCCAGCATAGCAGCTGCCATCTCTGATATCCCATATGATGCGCGTAGCTCACCATGTAATGGTACCAGTATCCCAGATGATGCCTCTGCGCTCCCAGGTCATGCCTCGGGATGCCAGGTCGTGTCTCCGGAATCGCAGACGGTGCCACTCGCAACCTAGGAAATGCGACTAGTACCCATGGTGATGCCTCTAGCATCCAAGATAATGCCTCTGGCATTCCAGGTAATACTACTAACATGCCTGGTGATGCATCTAACATCCCAGGTAATGCTACTGACATCCCAGAGAATGGTACTGGCAACCAAGGGAATGCTACTAGGATCCCATGTGTTGACTGTGACATTCCTGGTGATGCCTCGTGCATCCCAGTTAATGTACCTATACATCGTCACATATTAGTCTCCATATAGATTTCCCGTCGAAGATGGTCTTACTACTATAAATGAGAAAACATGGACTGGATTTGATTGGTAAAATGTGGATGCGTAAGTGAGCTTCAATTTTGGGGTTTACGTGAAGAGCATGTAAGGAAAGTTAGCAGCGGATTCGAGTATTTTCCATGACGATTCGCATGAGCGACTAAGCCACCCAAGAAAACTAGTAAGCCACCTACAACTCGACGAGCTCTATCTAACGATGTAATCAGATTCCCCGAAACTTCAACCTGAAAGCCAAAAAAACCAAAATAATCCATAAGACACATAGGGAAGAATTAGCATTTTTCGTAAAACCCATGACGATTCGCCCGAGTACATAAGCCACCCGTGAATCATACGTCAATCGATGCAGAATTCCACGCTCTATCGAATGGTATATAATTCATGTTCATAAAATTCTTCTATAACTGGCACGGCTCACTGGAAACCTCGAAAACCACATTTTCCGAAGTTTTACTTGTGACGATTCGCCCAGAAGCTTAAGCCACCTTGAAAAAGCACACCAATCGATGCAGAATCGCGAGTTCTATCGAATGGTATACAACTTGCACAGCTCACCATCAATAAAATGCCACTTTCACCATCAAAACCTTCCCAACCCGTAAAAACTTGACATTTTCCCAGCAACTCTAATTACGATTCGTTCCGGTACATAAGCCACTTACGAATCGTATACCATTCGATGCAGAATTCAATGCTCTATCGAATGGTGTACAGCTTGCATGGCTCAACATTTATTAGATAGCATCTAGACCCACAAAAACCATCAAAACCTTGGAAAAATGAGGACTTCACCCAGTTAATTCATTTGACGATTCGTTCCAGTACATAAGCCACTGACGAATAACATACCATTCGATGCAGAATTCGACGCTCTATCGAATGCAATACAGTATAAACACCTTACTATCAATTAGATGGGGCTTATATCACTAAAAATCTTGAAAACCTGAGGAAAATCAGGGTTTGACCCCATTAATTCATTTCACGATTCATTCCAGTACATAAGCCACTGCTGAATCATATACCATTCAATACAGAATTTCACCCTCTATCGAATGATGTACAATTCATGTTCTTACAATTCTCTTATAACTGCCAGGTTTCACTGGAAACCTCGAAAACCACATTTCCGCAAGTATTACCTATGACGATTCGCCTAGAAGATTAAGCCACATTTGAAAACTACACCAATCAATCCAGAATCGCGAGTTCAATCGAATAGTCTATTGCTTGCACGGCTCAANAATCGTCATGGGTTTTACGAAAAATGCTAATTCTTCCCTATGTGTCTTATGGATTATTTTGGTTTTTTTGGCTTTCAGGTTGAAGTTTCGGGGAATCTGATTACATCGTTAGATAGAGCTCGTCGAGTTGTAGGTGGCTTACTAGTTTTCTTGGGTGGCTTAGTCGCTCATGCGAATCGTCATGGAAAATACTCGAATCCGCTGCTAACTTTCCTTACATGTGAAGAGCTTACTTGTTTTTGACGCCGTTGGAGGAGGAAAAAACAAAAGATAAATCTACTAGTGGATTTATGGGTAGAATTCCTATTTCCAAGTTGCAATCACTGTGTACACAGGGAAGAGTATGAGGCGCGGTCAAGGGAGAAAAAGCGTATTTCTAAGTATCGCCAGGTATTTGTAAGTATTTCTAGATATTTGTAAGTATTGCTAGGTATTTCCTAGTATTTCCAGGTATTTCTACCCATAGTACATAGAAATACCTGGAAATGCTTGGAAATACCTACAAATGCCTGGAAGTACATAGAAATACGTAAAAATACATGGAAATACGGAAATACAGAAATACGTTTTTCTCCCTAGGTCGCGGCTCTGAGGAGGGGATGGGGGAGAGGCACTGCGCGCCCACTTTGGAACGCTGAAATAAAGGGTCAGTTACGTGGGCAAATATTACAACGAAGATTTGAATTATATTTTTGTGTCCATACCATCGTGAGCCTTCGAATTTATAAACTTATAATTGGGATCAAATTTGTCTTTTGCTTTTGCTGTAATCAGGTGCTGGTGCGATTTTTTTGTCACTTATTTTTGAAGTGATATCATGCAGTGAAAGCTCCATTTATATTCGAAGTCGAATTAGGCATCTCATGTCGAACTGAGAACATTGTCGGTACTACAACTTCATGATAAGATTCGATCTTTCTTGGTTATTGTTATGATAATCACTCATGTCCTGAATATCGCCTCAATTTGCATCATTATTCGTGAGATTGAAAAAATTGATGCTTAATTATGATTTCAGCAAACAAATCATCAATTGATCGCTGTCATTCAACGAACTCTGATGCATGAAATAAATGACGATTTGTCCACGATTTCATAACGACAAGAATGACTCAGTAATTAAGTAAAGCATTTTATTCGATTTTTTTCAATTGCAAGGAATTAAAGTAACTATGTTTCAAGAAGAATAACTCCAAAACTACTTTTAGAAATACATAGTATGTTATATCTTGAAGATTCGTAGTAAATATGTGTTGATAAATTCCTTTCAGCCAATACAAAGCAAAAGAAGATAAACTTTTGTCCGCTGTAGATGCACATCGTCTCACTTTACTACATTAGCGATCCAAAGCTGTATAGCATGATACAGGTCGTAAGGCTAATGTTCTCTTTGTCTTCAAGCGTGAAGAGCAGACAGTAATTTTTTAATTTCTGTCAATCGAAAACAAAAAATCAAAGTATTTTAAAAAGAGTGCAACATCAAGTCTGATGTCATCAATGAGAAACTCATAATGCAGTAAGTGATACTTATACTCAAAATTCGACCTAAATTTTGACTAAGTATACTTTTCAACAAGTTATTCTAATGCCAGTATCGCAGTTCGTCAGCGTTATCTTCGATAAAAATCATGCAATATTTTATTTCAGTTTCTCCAATATAGATGGGAAATCTCCATGATCGTTATTAACATGCGAATGAGATTTAGCACACATGAAATTGATCATAGTGATTAGTTAATCCAACTATCAAAGAACATTTGAATAAAGAATAGATCATAAAGCGTAAAAAGCCATTATGAAATTGCAAGTTTCAATAAAAATTGTGAAGAAATCGACAAAAATCGTCTTTTTTGAACGATTTCATGGCGATATCATCTCACAATTAATCGTTCTAATGAATAGCAATAAAATCATCGATATTTAGGCAATTATTGCCATATGAAAAAATATAAAGTCCCTACTATTATATTTAATTGTTGGTGAATAAATTGATCAAACTCCAAGTACTTAGCTATTGACATCATCATTATCTGTACAGTCTTCAGACATGATCTACTAAGTTTAAATTAAGCGATAAAATATCCCGTAATTCGATAAACATTCAACTTTCTATGAACAGTAATAATCGTATAGTATATTAAACAATGTAACTAATTATATAATGCGTCAGATCTTTTAGGCAAAATCTTTCTTTCTGTTTAAAAAAGTGTATTGTATTTTCAAAGCAGTTCACTAACGATTATCATGTATTATTTTGAGAAAGCATTTTATAGTAAGCGCCACGTCGTTGTGTCAATTCTGTATGAGTACCACTTTCCACTATATGTCCTCTATCAAGTACACAAATCAAATCACATGAACGAATAGTTGAAAGACGGTGAGCAATGATAAGTGATGTTCGAGTAGAATCTTCTGTTTGAGCTTGTTCAAGAGTTTCTTGTACAAGCTATAATTGAATAATGAAGATAAATCTTTAACTGATATATGGAAAAAAACAAATTTACTTGTTCATTGTGTAAATCCATAGCACTTGTCGCTTCATCTAAGAGCAATACTTTAGGTTGACGAATAAGAACTCGAGCAATAGCAATACGTTGCTTCTCACCACCTGACAGAAAACTACCTTTCAATCCTACTTTTGTTTCATAACCCTAAAAACAGTATCATACAATAATAATCGATAGATTATATAATATTTCTATTGTTTAACCTGAGGTAATTGGTCAATAAATTGATGAATATTAGCTCTACGTGCTGCATTGATAATGTCTTCCATTGGAACATTTTCTAAGCCATATGCTATATTTTCAGCAATTGTTAAATCGAACAAAATTGGTTCTTGACTAACAAGACCAAATTGAGAGCGAACCCATTGCAAGTTTAGCTGTTGAATATTAACGCCATCAAGAAACTAAATTGAGTGGACAAATTTTATATGATTACTTAAACTATATGTTAAAGAAATACTAACTAGTTGACCACTTGTAACATCATAGAATCGTTCCAATAATTGAATAATTGTTGATTTGCCACATCCCGATGTACCTGTACAGATCATATTACATAATTAAAATTTAAAAAAAAAACATTTATTTCAGATATACCAACAAGAGCCACACGTTGACCTTACGAATAAAAAAATATTTCTAATGAATCGATGAAATCTAATTTTATCTCACTTACCTGACTTGATATTTAGTTGAAATTTGTTGAGAATAATAGATGTTGGTCGAGTTGGATAGATAAATTTGACTTGATCAAATTTTATTTCTCCACGAAAATCAACCTACACAAACCGTATTATATCCATAGTCGAAATATGGTTCAGAGAAAAGTGTTGTCTTCTATGTTCGCTTACCAATTCTTGTCCTTCAGTAGATGTATTGTCGATAGTTGGCTTTCGATCAAACAAATCAAAAAACGTTTCAGCGGCCGACATTGAAGCACTGAGACGGATAGATCTAAAATGAGGACAGTAAAAACAAAAGAAGAACACTAGACATTGAAAGTATTACATCATTCCGATTAGTTTTAGTGCTTGCGTCGAAAAAACAGCGAAAGAATAGACCCTAGTAAATTGAAAAGATAATGAAACATTGCTTAAAAACTGTTAAATTGTGATTTCAATTACATTATAATACGGTTTGGGTTGAGTTCATTCTTTTCAATCAGGACTAGAGCACGCCAATACAAAAATCCTATAGTATATGCATCTAGTACCCAGTATGCGCCATATGCGATTGCATGCATTATCGATGGTTTCCAGAAAATTCTATGATAAAAAAAGATTAATAAAAAATTTATTCATATATAAAATTCGATTGACCAACATAAATACTTCATGAATAAGGTCAGAATATTGTCGTAATACTTCCTTTTCTATTGACAACTGTTTTATTGTACGTATATTATGAATAACTTCAACAGCAAGCTGCAGAAATAAAAGATGGAATGAATGGACTGTATTTGATTTATGAAATAACTCATGATAAAATAATTTTTTCTTGCCGAGAAAAAGCGGTTATCAGCTAAAACTTGATCTTACCGTGCCTGCTCGTCCGATAATATGACGAGATTGTTGATTCAACCGCATGTTTAAGCACACATTCACATAGGTGACTATGAAAAAGATAAAAAGTGGACCAAACACGATCAATGTTAATTGCCAACTTATAAAACATCCAAATAGAATTCCAAAAAACGAGAGTGCCAAAGCTTCAGACATAGCTCCTAATCTTGTACCAGTCATCTCTTGAATAGCTGATGCATCAGAAGAAAGACGAACGCTAATTGCACCAGAACTATTTTCAGGTCGATCGAAATAGGCAACTTCCTGACGAAGAAGACATGTTAAAGCTTTTAGTCGAATACGTTCTGTCAATCTTGATCCTGCTATGGCGAAAGCAGTATACTATAAAAAAGAATGAATAGATTACTGATAAAATTCAGAAGCAGCATTTTTACCTGAAAGAAACGAAGAACGAATACAACAGCACCCAAAAGTAAAAAAATAAAGCTAGCAATCAACACGTGATGGTGTCGCTCAGAGTTTGAGCAGTACTTGAATGCCTACACAATAAACAGATGGAAATCAAACGATCTATATGGTAAATCTTTTTTCCATACTATTTAAATAAAGGATGTTTCATGAATAACGACCTTATTTTTATTTTATTTTTTTTTGTATCTTTGCTATATTCAAAGGTGGAGAGGTATTAGATATATATATTTGAGGAGTAATATCTAAGCTATTATTCAACAGAAATCACACACAAATTGCTTCAATCATAAGAAAGTGCAACATTAGTAGCAATATGTAAAAAAAACTTCGTCAAAAGGTTTTTTCCTTCTTCACTGTAAAGAAGTATTCATTCAGTGTTTTGTGAATATCTGGCAATTGTTGATACTTTGACTTGAGTTTTTTTTACAAAGAATAGTCTGTACAATGCTCTACATGGTTCAAGAAAAACAGATCTTCAAAAGGATAATCAGAAACCATATCTGATTAGCAGTAATACACTCCAAAAAGGTTCATGTTTACAGACACTTCTTATTACAAAAGAAATTATTTGACTTCTCCGTAGTAAATAGATTTTAGACCATTTTAAGTTATTCTTCCGAAATTTTTTTTTCTTGGACTTCGTATAGATTTACACAGACTATCATTTGTAAAAAGCTCAAGCCAAAGTATCAAAAACTGACAGATATTCACAAAACACTGAATAAATACTTCTGTACAGGAAAAAAGGAAAAACAAGATTTTTATAAAATGTTTTACATAATTTTACCAACGTGGTACCATTCTATGATTGAAGCAAATTAAGTGTGATTTCTGTTGAATAATAGCTTAGATATTACTTCTCAAATATATATATCCAATGTCTCTCCACATTTGAATACAGCAAAGATACAAAAATAAATATGGGGTCATTATCTATGAAACACTCCTTAGGCGAATAACTTACATTAACTATTCTGGCAAGTGAAAATGCAAATAATGGTTGAGCTGCTCCATTAAGTACACACGATATACAACCAATCAATAGGGTGATCCACTCAGGACTATTCATTGACAAGAGTCTTAAAAAAGCAAATCTTTGTCTGAGTGGCTTTGAACTTGGCTAAAAAATGGAGATAGTCAGTGATAGTTTTTTTTATAGATAATTGCAGTAGTATATATACTTTGTTCATATCAACAGTTTGATTATCGCTAAGTAAACGAGAGAGTTGATCTTTGAAAGAAAAAAGACAACAAAAAGTAAAGACTATTAATATTAAATTATTTATATACATATCGACTTTTCATCTTCTTCTGTTTCTTTTTGTATGCTTATCATATCATCTTGATCATTATAGACTCTTTCTATTTGTTGACGTTTCACCATTGCTTGATATTTGCCATTTTCTTTTGCCATCAATGTTTCATGTGTACCTTGCTCAAGCACACTTCCATTATCTACTACATATATTTGATGGGCATTTTGAATTGTAGTCAAACGATGAGCAATAACAATAGTTGTACGATCTATACAGAATGTGATATGAATAAGATAAGTAAGAAAAACAATTCTTACTTTTGCATGCTCGATCAAGCGCCTCTTGAACGATTTTTTCGTTAACATTATCAAGTGCACTTGTTGCTTCATCCAATAAAAGAAATGCTGGTTGCGTGACAAGAGCACGAGCTAATGCAATACGTTGTTTTTCACCACCACTCAATTGTATACCATGTTCACCAACAAGTGTTTCATATTTCTAAACAAGATATTACGATATACATATATATATATAAACATGTATAGATAAAAATGAGTATTTGGCGCAAACATTTGGTAATTGCATGATGAAGTTATGTGCATTTGCTTCTCGTGCTGCTTGTTCTATTTCTGCTTGTGTTGCATTCACTTTACCAAAACGAATATTTTCGTAAATACTCATGTCAAACAGAATCTATTACAAATGTTAAAACAAATAGAAAGAGAGAAAAGCAAATTGAAAAAAACACATACAGGTTCTTGAGAAACAACTCCAATATTTTGTCGAAAGTGTTGAACATTATAGTCTGTTATCGGTCGACCATCGATCGTTATTTGACCAGATGAGGGTTCATAATAACGAAGAAAAAGTGATATGCATGTACTTTTTCCTATGAATAAAATATGAACATAAATGAGATCATTTTAAGATTTTTGTTTTGGAGAAGACTTACCACAGCCACTTGCACCAACAATAGCAGTTGTCTGACCAGCACGAGCAATAAGAGAAAGATTACGCAGAACCGGTGTATCCTTTCGAGATGGATATATAAAGTTGACGTTGTCAAATTCAATGTCCCCATTTATATTACAAATTGATTCTGTATTCTCTTTCCATACATCTGTTTCATTAATACTTGTGTCATTTCCCTACATCATGTAAACAAACACGAAACATTTCTATCAATATGAAAATTAAATTTAGCGGGATGTACCTCCTCGATAAGTCGAAATACCGATGATGCTGCACCTCGAGCCTCTGAAAATGATTGAAAGAAAGTACCCATATTACTGAAGAACAACAAACATTGTGTAAAAGTACATACGACCTGTATTGAAGATAGAAGTCGTTTATTCATTTCCTTATTAAGTGATTATATGAATTACTCACGACAAGAATATCACTAATATTCAAATTATGAGTTTTGCTTGACATAAGTAGAGAACCAAAGATAAAACCAATTGCATAAACTATGTAGACTATGAAAGATATCCATCCAGTATAAATCCCAAACACTGCACCTTGGCGTATACTACTCCAACGAGTTGGATACAGTTCTTTTCCATATCTAAATTTAAATAACACAGCAACGTGTTTTATGATATCGTATTGGTAAACTATTGTTATGTATATTCATTTACCTTTTCTGTTCAAATTTGCTACCATTGAGAGAAAGGACAGTGCGCAGTGAACTAAACACTTCTTGAACGATTTGTCCAGCTTTTGAATAGGTCATTAGCTGATTCATTGCTTCTTTAGCGGTGAGCTGTGATAATTCATATAGATTTAATTGAATGAACAACACTTCATACCTTAGAAAACATAACCGAGCTACCAATAACCAAAGGTATCGAGCATAGCATAATTAAAGCCAATTGCCAGTTGACAATAAAAGATGCTGTTAAACATCCAATGACACAGAGTGACGTTCCGAATAATATTAAGAATTCAAAACTAATGCCCTTCTCGATCTTCGCAATATTACTACACAAGAATTAAACCAGAAGAAGTTGTTTGATATAAAATATCACAATGACTTACGCAAATAGTTTAGCATTGAGTCGACTAGTTGAATGAGTATCCATATAAGGAATGCTCTAAAAACAGAGCGAGAAACAATCATAAATAGACAAATTTGACTGAGTGTTATAGTAACTTCACTGCTATTTTCTAAATTCGACTCAAACTATAAGTTCCTAATTTCAGTTCAACTCCAACCTGATGCTTTTAGGAAATCCTAGTGCAACTCTGGCTGTAAAAAATCATGCTGTACCCGATAATATTTCATAAATTTGAATCCTTTTGCATTTGCTTCTCTAATCGGTGTTTTCCCTATCATAATTCTGTAATTTTTGCTTGACCAGTTACTGAGTGAACGGAAATTGAATAATAATTGATAAAGTTTGTTAACACCAACTTCACTCAAATTCTAATTTAAGCAAATGTCAACTCCACTGCAACTGCATTCATGAAATATCAAGGTTTACTACATCTATGATCTAACGAACGTACTTCATCAGATGTCCCATCTTCATTTCAATGAACTTCTTTGTCTCTAGGTGCTAAATAGTGCCATAATAGAGACTCTCCGAGGATTTCAGTTCTTATTGAGATTTGATGAAGCTATTGAGTTTTTAATATGTATATTCGTCGGAGACTCTTGTAGCTTCTCCGGGTTGGTGGAAAACTATACTTTGAAATTTTATCTTGAAACTATTTTCATTTGAAGATCTCAAATGGAATGTCTTATATGAAGAATTTCAGGATTTGTAACTTTCGAATCTCTGAAATACGGAATTCCAAATATAGATGCTTTTCGAAGTGTGTTGCAAAATGTAAGAATATTTCAAGAAGTTTCTATCATGCAGATACGAAATCTACGAATTCTGAAACTCTAAAAACAAGCTACTGTATATATGCAACCTTCAATGGGAGATAATTTGAAGGCAGATTTTAAAAACACGATTTTTCCGACCACCAGGGGCCTACACCAGTTTCTAGCACATAGTCATTATAGATTCAATAGCTCCGCCAACTCTCAATAAGAACTGTAATTCTCTATTGATCTTCACTAGAATACTACCTAGCATTGATGTACGAAAAATTATTGAAAACGGCGCTAAAAACAGATTGCAATGAAACTTTGAGGAAAGTTTTTTTTATAAATGGAAATGTACTTAACTTACACGTTGAACAAGTGATCGAAAGAGGAAAACACTCATACGGGATGTCTGACGTTTCACACTGATGTTCCAAATATAATGTTCAACCACAGCAGCCAGAAATTCAATAGCACTAATAACTACATTGACACAGAAAAAACGAGACGTTTCCATTGATTGTTATAGTTAAATTATTACGTTCGTTGGACTTACTGAATAACCGGTAAATTATTTTCATAACTTTTTCTCGAAATAAATGCATTGGTGTAGCCAAAGTTGATAACAGAATTACATCACTATTATGACGCATTCTACGATGAAAATATATCAAGAAATAATAGAAGAAATACATAGTAATGAATAATGGCTTTTAGTGAATTACTTATGCGACGGAATATTGTTGAATATATTGTGGCCGATGCTTTGAGGGTATGTATTGTTGTTATTAATTGAAACTATTGAATTTTGATGTTGATCAGCACAATTATCAGCAAATGATTCAATAGCAAATAATCCTGTGAGTCTAGCGAAGAGAACTAGGTTAATGAGAATGCAAAGTGTTTGTAGCACTGCTAAACACAAAGCAATGGGCATCAGAACAAAATCGACACGATCCGCAAACCGAAACTACAGTGAAATCCAATACATTAATCAGTTGCTACTTTTTTTGAATATACTTACTAAACGAAAAACGCTAACTGCTTCGTCTTTTTCAATAGATTCAGTATCATCACCTAATTTTAAATATTTATTACTTTTCACTTTTCTCCCGAAACATCGACGCCAATCAGAAAACCTATTAAAAATGATAAATACATTGTATTTTTCTCAAAGCTAATTATTTATTAACTCATACGTGTTGGTCAAAAGTCGATTCTTGTTCCGATTCTCATCATCATCATCATCACCCATGGACAATCTGCTGGATGGGTTTAACAGAGGTTGTCTATCACCCATTTGATTACTTTTTCAACAACAATATGACGAAAAAAGCCGAAAAAATATATGCAAAACTTGCTCATTAAGTAGCAAATTGCAATGATTTGATTGACAATTCATGCGTTTCTTTTTTTTGCTTCTTAATTAAATGTATGCAAATCGACAGTATAATTACGGCCTTAACTCGTCGTGACTTACACGACAAAACGTGCCATGCATACAATTATCTTAAATTATCGTACAGAATCGTTTTCTATGGCAATTATATATATTCTCCTTAGTGAAGATGGAGAAAGCACATTTTTTGTACCTTCTGTTGAAAACAAAAGAAAAAAGATAGGTTTTTTATGCAAATTATTTTTCTTATCAAAGTTTATCTCAACGACAGATACAATCGTAAATATTTATTTTTTTAAGTACATCGTGCTTTTTTTTTTATAAATGCTGCTTAATTTATAAAATGATTGTGTACAATTAAATTGATTGTTTCGATTAATATAAATAAAAATAAATACTATATTATTTTTTTAAATAGACACTTATGATTGAATCTGCCGTTGCAATAAATCTAAATAAAAATTTTATTTATTTATTTGCATAAAAGGTTACGATGGAATCTGTTGTCAAGATAATTCTAAATGGAAACATAAAATTTTGATTTTTTTTAAATAAAAGTGCTTACTATTGAATGTAATTTGGAGAAAAGACTACAGAAGAAAAAATGATTCCTTTGTTTTTTTAATAGATACTTGCCATTGAATTTGATACTAGACTCAAAGATTAAAGCCTTGATCAATAGGCATCTCAACTCATGGCTCAATTGCAAACATATACGATCATTTACGGTAGTCGTTCACGGCAGTCGTTTACGTCTTAGTAAAGGGTAATCGTGTTTCAAGGTATGTCGTCATGGACAGGGAATGATGACGATCTTGATATCCAATCATTTTCAATCATGCTTTTTTAACCTGGGTAACGGTATGTGAAATAAAACGGTGCATTGCAATCATATTTTTTATCTTAGATATATTTGATATTTACAAATAGATAAAATACGAATAGAAGCAAACTAAATAAGTTTGCTAAGAAAAATAGTTTGACAGACGATAATCGTAAAGTTTATGAATTTTCGTTAGACTAATAACAAATCCGATGTAAGCTAAAATGGACATAAAAATATATTCAAATCAGAACGACAAACTTTCTCAAATAGTTTCATTTTGTACACAATCGTTGTACTTCAAGTTCGCATTCTTGAGTTTTATCATAATTATGTAAGAAAAAAAGAAATGTGAAAATATTATGTTCAATCTCGGACTGACCTGATCGAAGCTTGAATCAGAGATTGGACACGTCCAATGTGAAACCATAGAACAAGTTTACTTTAAAACTCGAATTAGTCTGCAGATTCATGTTGAATTTTGATTTTTAGTTAATGAGCTCTAATCAAGCAATGGCACCCCAATTATACACTGGCTACTGAGTGAATTAAGTAAACATCCCAGTAATTATGAATAAATTTTCATTTAAGCAGTTCTTCTGTATAAAATTCACCATAACTTCAAGGATTCAAACTTAATTCATCAACTGGTGATATTGTTAATTGAAATGGCAGGCCTTCATTAGACTTTGCCAATAAGAATTCGCATCTGACATTAATCTCGAGTGCAATTCGAGTTTTGACGTAATCATCTTCTACAATAGTAGGTTAGAGATGCTCAATGTCAGAACCAAAATTAACCTGAACCACACCGAAATTAAATATAATATGTCAGTTTGAATGCTAACATATCCATATAAATATATATAATATTGCATACTCAAATTCAACATGCAATCTAGCAAATAACATTTCACGAAGTAGACTGAAAATATATGGTAACCGGAAGTGAATTCCATATGCAATGACCGTACACGAAATAAAATGGCCAGAAATAGAATTCCTATTAGAAAGTACACGAGTGTTGTATCCGATCGCCATGCACTTAACTTCTGAAAGCAGTTAAAAAAAAGGATGATCACTAATGAAACATTAAAAGAAATAAGGCTTCTTTCAAGTTAAGAGAAGAAACTATTTTTAGTAGATTTATCATTTTCATCATATTATACAGTACATGATAAGGAAATACTTCTATTATTTTTCTTTGCTTATAGTTTTTCAACAACTGACTGTTATAGTAAGTTGACAAAAAAAAGTGTTGTTGTTTGTTTAGTGTGTATTATGTAAATTTATCATTCGATTTAAGTGAAAAATTAAATAAAATATTAATTCTAGTTTTTTATTGTTTACAGATTAATTCGTGGATATTTTGACTTAGAAATAAGCTCAAATATTATTAGTTCTTCTTTATTATTGATTTAGATCACTAACTGAATAATTTAATGCAACGATTATTTTAGATAAATTATCTTCTTCTTTTTCTTTTTGTGTTATTCAAGTTTATCATAGATCGTTTTAATTACCCATTGAGTGTTAGCAATCGTTTTTATTCATTTTCACGTATTTTCTTTAGATCTACAAATCGAGAATTGAATGTATCAGTATCTTCATTTACATTTCTACATCAAGAACTAAATATAGTGATAGGTTAAAATAAAATATTTCTATTCCTTTTTTATTATTTCCATAGTTGGAAAACAAAATAATAAAACAAATTCATTATCACAAGTTGAGGTAAGATTAAACAACTATCAGTAAATCTTGTAAAAAATAGTCCAAAATTGTGTCTAACGAAATTCAAATCGTCTTATTGAGCAAAGGACACTTCCAAAATAAATTGAAAAGTATGTAGTTTTGTAGCGCTTCACATGAGCTTCTCAGAATCAACCCGAAACTCGTTTTATCTGTTTTTCTTTCTCGAGACACTAAGAGAATAATAAGCAAAAGTGAATAGAAATTGTAAATACAACTATATGATTTTCATCCTCATTTGGAACCATATTTACATTATTACTTGGCAACACTTCAATCATTCGAGCTGAACTTTTCGCTAGAGAAAGATTATAGGATGGATAGCCGATTGACATAGTTTTCAGTTGAAACTATTTTAGTATGGGAAAATTTGTACGAGCCATCCTTCGATGTATGAATCACGCATTTATGATGCAACTGTAAATACTGAAGATTTGAGCAAAACTGTGTCTGTAACCTTCATAAATCACTTTATTTTGCTATCAAATGAATAGTCATGAAACTCTGTATTAGATAAACCATGGATACAGGAAAATTGTGAATGTCCTTCATGTATCCATATTCTATTAGTTCCGTTCGAACAACGTTTTTTCTCGTAGTCCAGGTAACCGAGTTTATAACTGATTCCACTCATTCCTATTCCTGATTGCTGTATCACAGAGAAATAAGTTACGATCGTGTTAAATATTTTATTATTAAGTTAGCTCTAATATTGAGTGAATATCTGAAATTGTTTTGTAAATACAGAAGATGAATATAAATTATTTATTTAAATAAATTACAGAATTCGTTCAAACTGAGAAATCATAATTAATTATGATTTGTATGAATAATATCAATCGAATTGAATAAGATCCAATTATATTTTCTTCAATAATTCTAACCAAATCTTTAAAAAAAAAACTACATATGTAATAAGTTAGTTAACATTTATTGTTATTTTTTCCAACATTGATATAACTTGATGATGCTGACTAATGAGTTTTCTATTCATTGACAAGAATAATCTATATTATTTGACAGACAATTTAGAAAAAATAAAGAGAAGTTGAATGATTAATCTATTTGGAAACAATTTTCTTCCGCTGATTTCAGCTTTCTTGACGAAGACAAACGATACCTAAAAAAACAAAACTATATTGAGAAGTTTTCAATTAGCTATTTCATATAATATGTACTTAATTTGGAGTATTTACTATATAATGATGATTATAAATTTATCATACTGTTCACATGTTTATTAGTAAATTATGCAGACATATGTTCTTTTTATGATACTATTTCTACATATTAACGATGATTGAATAATTTTATTCGCTTTTTTTGTACTATTTCCATGAAAATTGTAATATGATTTATCAATTCAATCATTTTGCAGAACCTCAAAAAAATACGCATTGAAATGTGAACGATCGATCAAATTCATTTTGTTCTGATTCATGTTTGAATTGACTAGTTGTCTTTCTTATGAAAACCTCAAATAAATCTATCATTTCAATCATTGATTTCAAAATAATGTAATTTAATCAATCTTTTTCGATCAACTAAGCCTGAAATTTCTATTGCATTGAGATTAATATTGATTATACTTAAAATCAGACGAGCATTGTATACGATAAAAATCGACTCTATAATTAATCTAAGTAGTTTTTAGATTCATCTTACTTTTTTTCAAGTGT